GCTCTCTTGGATTTTTTTACACTGCACCTGCTGGTGGGGGACACCCCAATTCTTTGAACTTCTTAGCTTATTTTGACTAAATTAAACCCAGCTATGGCTTCTAAGGAAGATGGGAGGGAGACTGGTGGTGTCAAACGTAAACACCAGACCTTATCAATTCAAGAGAAAGTTGAACTGCTGAGAAAACTGGACCGTGGTATTTCAGTGCATAAGCTCACTGAAGATTATGGTCTCGGTTCATCAACTGTTTATGATATAAAGAAGCAAAGGGAAAAACTATTGAAATTCTATACAGATAGTGTTTCCAAGAAGCAGATGTGCATTAGAAAATCAATGACAACTGGTAAGAGTAGTGAGCACGATCGAGTGATGTTGCAGTGGTTTCGAAAACGTCAAAGTGATGGAGTGGAATTATCAGGTACGCTGATAATGGAGCAGGCTCGGTTGTTCCATAAAGAACTTAAGTTGGAACACGAATGTAATTATACTGATGGATGGCTTCAAAGATTCAAGAATCGTCATGGAATTTCCTTCAGTAAAGTGTGTGGAGAAAAATGGTGTGCTGACTATGAAGGGACTGCAGACTGTACGAGGACTCTTTGTAAGTACAGTAATTAACAAGTTTACTTCTCATTTGTTTAATCTTGTTTTATTAATCCTGTAGGGCTGGAGCACTCTTTGTACATGCAATAATTAATAAATTTCATTTAATTAATCCTGTTGCACAGTACCCTGCAGTGTACAATATTAATAAATATGTATCATTTATACTAATTTACAGGTATCCGTATTTCATTTAATTAAGTAAATTTAACATTTCTTTAATTTAGAGTGTGCTGACCAAGGTGACCATCCCTAGTTCAGAAAAATCAATAATCTGGAAAGGCTTAGGAACCAAAGATTTTGGAAAATTGATGTTGTACCTGTACTTAAACATATACCTCAGTATATGCACCAGAAAATATATCTTGTTATAAGCACCAAGAGTTTTAGAGATATATACTGTGTATATATATTTATGTATACACATAATGAATATCTCATGGAAAATACACCAAAAGAAATATATCTCAGTATGTACAAATAAAGGAATATAATGTATCTCGGTATGTACAAATAGAGGAATATATCAGAATACATATATACCTTGATTTTTTTGGTATATACACCAACCCCTCAAAGAAAGTTCCTTGATACTAGTGACGGGGGGACGGGGGCTTTTGATCCAAAGAATTGGACCTTCCCCTCCCTTGAATCAAACTTGGATGCCTCCCATTCCCCAGTCACTATATGACCCCTGTGGGTTTAGCACTTTCACCCTGATTAAAAAAAAGTATACACACTTTAATAAATGTATTGGTGTATACATCCTACATGAATATTTCATGGTATGTATGTCTGGATTATATCTTGGTATATATGCCTAGATATTGACTGGATGCACATAATGGGTCCAAGGACTGTACCACAACATTTCAGACCCTAATGGAAATAAGTCACTGACATTTTTGGGTTATCCTGGTGGATAATTTACAATATATATAATTGTACATGTGTGTATCTATGCCTTAATAAAAGCTACTTATTGAGTCCAGAAGTCGGGAAAATAAGGGTTCAATACGGCGCCAGTTACAGTGGCCCTACATCCCAACAACAACAACAATAAGACGCTAAAAATTTTGTGCTGAATTTTATGCCTGGAAATTTTAAATTAAAGCTTGAGCTGTGAATGTGGCGACGCTCAAGCTTTATTTAAGCTTTACTTAAGCTTTAATAAGGGAGAAGAATTGGAATATTTGCGGTAATAAAGCGGGAAAGATGAGATAACTTGATGAGAGGAAACAACGCCAGAAAATTTATATATATATATATATATATTTTTTTTTTTTTTGACATTGATGCATCTCTCTGTGAGAGTCTGTGTGGTCCATGCGGGTTTAGCGCTTAGTTGTGATTATTACAATAATAATAGTAATAAAGCAGGAAAAATGAGATAATTTGACAATGAAAAAGAAATAGCATAGAAAATTTTATTTTTTTATGCATCTGTGAGACTGTGGCCCTTGTGGGTTTAGTGCTTAGTTGTGTTTGTTGTAATGATAATACAGTGGACCCTCTATTTTTGTTAGTCTCTGATTTCGTCATTTTCGGTTATCACCGACTTTGTTTATTTTGTCAAAATCTGGGTTTTGTTGGTTGTACCGAACATGTCTGAGCGCCGTGCGGACAGAAAGCCTCCCACACACACATTCTGAGTTAGTTGCTTCTTGGCGAGTGAACATTGCCCTGCGAGGTCGTACGAAACATTTCGTAATAATCCATTTTTTTTTTTTGCACTTGTTTATTGTGTGTGACTGCTAAATAAACCACAATGGGTCCAAAGAAAGCTCCTAGTGTCAGCCCTTTGGTAAAGGTGAGGAACACGATGGAATTCAAGAAAGAACTCGTAGAAAAATATGAAAGTGGCGCACGTGTGGCAGACCTCGCCAGGATGTATGGGAAGCCCACATCAACGATCAGTTCCATCGTGGCGAAGAAAAAAGAAATCAAGGAAGCTGATTTTGCAAAAGGGGTAAATGTGATAACGAAACAGAGATCACAAGCACTGGAGGATGTTGAGAAGTTATTGTTGGTCTGGATCAGTGAGAAAGAGTCAGCTGGAGATAGTGTTGTGCAGTCGATCATTTGCGAAAAGGCAAGACAGTTGCATGCCAATCTCATAAAGAAAATGCCTGGAACGAGTGCTGATGTTAGTGAATTTAAGGCCAGCAAAGGCTGGTTCGAAAAATTCAAGAAGCGAAGTGGCATACACAGTGTGGTAAGGCATGGGGAGGCTGCAAGTTCTGACAAACGTGCAGCCGAGGAATTCGTTGATGAATTCAGTTGTGATGAAACAGGCCTCTTTTTGAAGAAAATACCAAAGAGGACCTACATCACGCAGGAGGAAAAGGCACTGCCAGGACACAAGCCTATAAAAGATAGGCTAACCCTCCTACCTGTCCATCCACCAACAAGAGTCTTCAGTAAAGGTAAGTGTGATGTTGAACTTTCAATTATTGATTTTATTTGTGCTTTATATTTATTAGTCATTGTTTTCTGTATGTAAATCTATATTTAATCTCTAAAAAATTTATTTTTTGTTAATACTTTTGGGTGTCTGGAACGGATTAATTAGATTTTTATTTCTTATGGGTAATAGTGTTTCGGTTTTCGTCATTTTCGGGTTTTGTCAGACACTCTGGAACAGATTAATCACGAAAACTGAAGGTCCACTGTAATAATAATAATAATAATAATAATAATAATCTCAGTAGAGAGAACTACAGTGGTACCTTGACTTATGAGTGCCCCAACATACGATTTTTTGCTTTGAGTTCCGAGCCAAAATCCAAGTTACGAGTGAGCTTCAGATATGCCGCTACTAGTTGCTGCAGGGAACACCACAACATCCGCCCAGCATCCCGCATCTCGTTCAGTGCATGTGGTTATCTAGCCTGTGGAAGCATCTCTCGTGTCGTGCTTATGTGTTGTGCTTTTCATGCAGTTATTTTGACAATATTTCTGTTTTCTAACCATGGGTCCTAAGAAAGTATGTAAGTGCAAAGAATAGTGCTGAGAAGATGATGATGATGATGATGTCCTTTGTAATCTTTTGACTACCGCCCACAGGATGGGTATGGGGTGCATAAAGATATTAAACTAAAGTGTGTGTGTGTGTGTGTGTGTGTGTGTGTGTGTGTGTGTGTGTGTGTGTGTGTGTGTGTGTGTGTGTGGTGTGTGTGACTCAACAATCAATATTTCCACCAATAACTCATTACAGTTGTGACCGGGTGTGGAAGTGTGAATTGCTCATTACTCTATAATTTGTTCATGATTGTAGCCAAAGTATAAACGTAAGTAACCATTCTACAGAATTCATTACCTTTGTAACTTGTGAGCTCATTACCTTTGTACCTAGTTCAGCTATCAAAACTTAGGGGGCCCAGTCCCTGGACCCATTACGTACCTCTGTAATCTGTAAATACCTTTGTAACTTGTCATGATTGTGACCAGACTTACCTGGAGTTCATTACCTTTGTAAATTGTGAGTTCATTACCTTTGTAAATTGTGAGTTCATTACCTCTGTAACTTGCTCAGCTATCAAAACTTTGGAGTCCAGTCCCTGGACCAATTATGTACCTCTGTAATCTTTTGACTACCGCCCACAGGATGGGTATGGGGTGCATAATAAACATATTAAACTAACATTGAATTAAAGCATAAAATCATAGAAAAATGAGTGAGGTGTATTTTTTGTAAATATTTTTGGGTGTCTGGAATGGAGTAATTGTATTTACATTAATTCTTATGGGAAATATTGCTTCGAATTTAGGCTGCTTTTTATTTAGGCCGACCTTCTGGAACAGATTAAGGCTGATATTCGAGGATTCATTGTATATACAGTAGACCCTCGGCTAAAGGCCTCATCGATTAAAACCAAAATCAGCTAACGGCTCGCTTTGGCATCAAAATATTGGCTAAGCTAAAGCCAAATAACTTGGTTAAGGGCTTTCGTCCAGAACGAGTCCGCATGGCCAGAGTGGGCCTGGCCACTCCACACTTGGTATGTATGTCTGGATTATATCTTGGTATATATACCTAGATTTTTTCTTGGAATGTGAGCTTTAATACCAAATTGACTGGATGTACATAATGGGTCCAAGGACTGTACCACAACATTACAGAGGTACATAATAGGTCCAGGAGCTGTATATCAACATTCAGAGGCACAATGGGTCCAGAGACTGTACCTTAACATTTCAGAGGTACATAATGGGTCCAGGGACTGTACCTCAACATTACAGATCCTAATGGAAATAAGTCACTGACATTTTTGGGTTATCCTGGTGGATAATTTACAATACATATAATTGTACATATGTGTATCTATGCCTTAATAAAAGCTACTTATTGAGTCCAGAAGTCGGGAAAATAAGGGTTCAATACGGCGCCAGTTACAGTGGCCCTACATCCCAACAACAACAACAACAACAATAAGACGCCAAAAATTTTGTGCTGAATATTTTGCCTTGAAAACTTTAAATTAAAGCTTGAGCTGTGAATGTGGCGACGTTCAAGCTTTATTTAAGCTTTACTTAAGCTTTAATAAGGGAGAAGAAGAGGAATATTTGCGGTAATAAAGCGGGAAAGATGAGATAACTTGATGAGAGGAAACAACGCCAGAAAATTTATATTTTTGGCATTAATGCATGTGTGTGTGTGTTTGGGTGGCATGCGGGTTTAGCGCTTAGTTGTGATTATTGTAATAATAATAATCTCAGTAATAAAGCAGGAATTTTTTTGGCATTGATGCGTCTATGAGAATTTGTCTGAGGCCCATGCGGGTTTAGTGCTAGGGTGTTATTGTAATAATAATAATAATAATAATAATAATAATAATAATAATAATAATAATAATGTCAGTAAAAAGAGTAATAGGATCAAATTTTTTTTTTTTTTTTTGACATTGATGCATCTCAGTGAGACTGGCTGATCCTTGTGGGTTTAGTGCTCAGTTGAGAGTGTTATAATATAATCTCAGTAATAAAGCAGGAAATTGTGATAACTTGCTCATTAGAAATAACAATAAAAATAGATTTTTTTTTTTTTTTTTTTTTTTTTTTTTTTTTTTTTTTTTTGACAATGATGCATCTCTGTGAGACTGTGATGCCCTTGTGGGTTTAGAGCTTAGTTGTAATTGTTGTAATAATAATAATCTCGGTGAGACCTTAGAAAGTTTAGATTGTACTTTAGGTTATGATAACTGATGAAGCAAAAATATCAAAACGACCACAATGGAAATAAGTAATTTTTGACTGACTTTTCTTGGGTGATCCTGGTGGGTAATTTACACATGTTTATGTTAATTGTACTTATGTGTAGCTGTACCTAAATAGGCTTACTTATTTATTCAAACACCACAATAGAAATAAGTCTCTGTATCTGACCTTTTTTTGGGTTACATTGGCGGGTAATTTACACTATGTATGGTAATAGTACTTATGTATACCTGTACATAAATAATCTTACTAATACAAAAATTGTATAAAATTGTATTTAAATAAACTGACTTACCTATGCATGAACACAGACTGAGGAAACCGAACCTACACTCTCTGGAAAATAATTAAGTTTATTTAGGTACATGTACACATACGTACAATTATCATAGTATAAATTATACACCAAGATACTCCCCCCCCCCTCCCACTACAAAAAAAGTCAAAGTAACTTATTTCCACTGCGAAAGATATGATTGAAGTGTAAAATGGAAAACAGGAATAAATACAAATTTGGTGACGTTTGTTTGCTTAGATAACTATAGGGGATAAAATAATTCCCGAATCAGAATACAAGCTAAGCAAATCAAAACAAAGATTTTTTGTTGATACCGAACAATGGAACAGTTGTACCACTACCTAAAAGTGCCTACATACATGCAGCCTGCATACATTCATACGTACATACATACATACGCACATACACACATATACATACATACATACACATACACTCATTTGCGCATATGTACACACACACGCACAAACACCCAAGAACTGTGACTTGACCCCTGCAACCACTTATACATGGGTACATACACTAGCACACGGAGTAGCTATATTGTATAATTTTTTATTGTACTTCCCGAATATTTTGTGCATAATATAGTTATTGCCAGCTAAGCAATTCTCTCTTCTTTTTTTCGGTATCCATAGTACACAGTCGCCTCATTTTTCTTTGTGTAATGGCAGTGATGTTGTTGACGGTGAATTTGTCAGCGGTAAAACCTCAATTTAATTTTGTTTAATAATGACCTCAAAGCGTAAAAGTGGTGACAGTGGCAGTTCTTCAAAGCCTAAGAGAAGTTGTGAAGTGCTTCCTATCAGTGAAAAAGTGCGAATTCTTGACTTGATACAACAAGAAAAAAAATCGTATGCTGAGGTCGCTAAGATGTATGGTAAGAATGAGTCTTCCATCCATGAGGTGGCGAAGAACAAAATAAAAATACGGTCTACTTTTGCTGTGGCGCCTCACACTGCAAAAGTCACATCTACAGTGCGTGATACGGTGTTAGTTAAGATGGAAAAAACATGAAATTTGTGGGTTGAAGATATGAACAGGAAATGCATTCCTACTGACAATAACGTGTTACGACAAAAGGCCTTAAGTCTGTATGAAGACATTAAGAAAGAATTCACTGAAGGGACGGACACCAAGCCATTTACAGCAAGTAAGGGATGGTTGCATAGATTCAGGAAGAGGAATAATTTGAGAAATACAAAAATTACTGGAGAGGCTGCATCTGCCGATGAAGAAGCTGTTGCCGCGTTTCCGGCACAATTGCAGTTGTTGTTCAAGGAGGAAGGCTACCATCCAAAACAAGTTTTCAGTTGCAATGAAACTGGGTTGTTTTGGAAAAAGATGCCCAATAGAACATACATTCACGAAAAAGCTAAGCAGGCACCAGGGTTCACAGCCTGGAAGGACAGATTAACACTGGTGCTATGTGGCAATGCTGCAGGGCATATGATCAAGCCAGGTGTGGTGTACCGAGTGAAGAATCCTCGTGCCCTCAAGAATGAAAACAAGAACTATCTGCCTATCTTCTGGCAACACAATCAGAAAGCATGAGTGACAGCCACACTTTATACTCAGTGGTTTCACCAATGCTTCATCCCTGAAGTTAAAAGTTACTTGGAACAGGAAGGGTTGCCATTTAACATCTTATTAATAATAAGACACTGCATCTTGCTATCCAACATCTATTGCCATAGAGAATGAAAATGTTAAGGTTGCATTTTTACCACTAAACACAATGTCACAACTTCAGCCTCTGGACCAGGGGATCATCCGGTGTGTCAGGGGTGCATACACCCACCTTGTATTTGAGTGGATTCGAGCAGCAATTGATGCAGAGCCTAACTTAGAAATTATGGAATGCTGGAAATCATTCACTATTGGTGATGCAATAACATTAATCAGAGCGGCAGTGGATGAATTAAAATCAGATGAAGAACTGGAAGAACATATTGAAGAACATCGACAAGTGTTGACGGATGAGGAATTACACGAACTCGTCAAGTCATCAACAGAGGAAGAAGAGACTGAATCAGAACCAGCAATGTGGACGTTGGAAAAGTTTGGAGAAGTGTTTCAGATTGCACAGACTTTAAAGAAAAAAATAATGGATTACGATCCTATGATGGAACGCAGCATTAAGGTCACCTGTATAATCAGCAAAACACTAGAACCTCTCCAGCAAATGTCTGATGAGCTGAAAAGAAAGGAACAACAACTTCCTATCACGTGTTTCCAAAAGCATGAGAAACAAATGTCCATCGACGATCAGCCTTCGTCGTCATATCATCGCATCATCACAGCAGCACCAAAGAACGAAGAAGCTGGTGAGTACCCACAACAAGTTAAGAAATAAATGTAAAAATATATTTAAACTCGGAGTTTACCTGGAGAGAGTTCCGGGGTCAACGTCCCCGTGGCCCGGTCCGTGACCAGGCCTCATAGTGTATCAGGGCCTGATCAACCAGGTTGTTGCTGCTGGCTGCATGCAATCCAATGTATGAACCACATCCCAGCTGGTCAGGTACTGACTTTAGATGCCTGTCCAGTGCCTGCTTGAAGACAGCCAGGGGTCTATTGGTAATCCCCCTTATATATGCCGAGAGGCAGTTGAACAGTCTTGGGTCCCTGACACTTATTGTGTTGTCTCTTTGCACGCTAGTGACACCCCTGCTTTTCATTGGGGGCATGTTGCATCATCTGCCGAGCCATTGATTGTCAGTAATTGAGGTGTTTTATCTCAGTTATGCGTGTACAAGATATTTTTCATTGCTCCATCATCTCTTTAGGGTTAGGCTAAAACAACAGAAATCCTGTTCATTTGAGAGAGAGAAAGAGGACAAGGTCAAGGGGGATCTACCGTATTATTGTGTTTACATTATTTTAAAGTACTGTAATTAACCATGCTAAGGGGAAGTATGCACTATACTGTGTTTTTCTTAACATTATTATAATTAACCATGTGATTAACCAATGCCACTGAAACAAGCATTGGTGTTAAGAGGAAGTGTGTACTGTTGTGTTAATATGACATTGTTATAATTAACCAGGTGATTACCTAATGCCCCTGAAGGAAGTATAGTGGACCCCCCGCGAATTTGCATTTCCAAATTTGCGGCTTCAGTAATTTGCAGATTTTTCCTCGAAACTAACTAATTGTTTGTGGAAATTCCTGCAAATTCACAGAATATTTTTTGTCTTTTTTCGTGGTAACATATAATTTTTTATGTTTTAATGCTAAATATTAAGGAAAATATACAGTGGACCCTCAGATAACAATGCCATTGGATAGCGATAAAACCGGATACCGATGCGTTTTTGCATAAAAATATTGGCTCGGCTAATGATGAAAAAACGCAGTTAAGGACATTTGTCCCGAACGTGTGTGCGCGGCCTGAACCCATGTACAAGGTAGTGTGCCATTGTTTACAAGCCAGGGAGGACGATTCCACGTGTACATGCGATATATTTTGTATTCCATTGTTTTTAGTGCTTGTAATTGCTAAATAAACCCCCATGGGCCCTAAGAAACTTTCTAGTGCCAGCCCTGCAATAAAGAAGGAAAGAAACACAAAATTCAAGAAAAAACTCGTAGCAAAGTACAAAAGTGGAGGAGGAAGAGAGAGGGGAGAATGTGCCTTCTGCAGTGATTCAGTGATTCTGCGATATGTACGATACTAAAGCAGCAGGTATCAGTAAAGGCTATAGTGCCAGCCAGTGATAAAGTGTAGAATTAACAGTGTAGCAAGTAAGTTAAGCGAGTAAGCGATAGAAAAGCAACATGAAAGTAACTCTCCAATGTTGTTGGATGTGTATAGGGCCACTTAACATGCACCGTACATACATTGTTTGTGGATAATGGTGGTGGCAGAAGCCTCCTCCCCCACTATTATGTACGGCTTTTATCAGTGGCCATTATAAACCCAACAACAACACTTCCACCACTTGTCCTCACATACATTATGACATAATTTATTCATTCTAGAGTATATATCATGTTTCTATGTTATTAATATTGTTTATTATGTCATATTAGATGAATTTAAGCCTGCCCAT